AGGGCCTTTTCCCAACCAGTTCTATCGAAACAGAATGTAAGCCCCATGTGTCCTTTTTATTTTCTGTAGCCTCGTTTAAAAATAGGTGAATATATTTCATTTATTATAACCCAAATATTAGCCTCAAACAAACATGTAACCAGCATAAAGTATTATTGATGAGATAGTTCACATTCTCTCTATCTCCTTCGTCTTCAAACGCTGGTATGTACTTTACGTGTATAGCACACCTCAATTTGAACCAGCCCCAATTTCAAGGGCTCAAGAGCCACAAATGGCTAGTGGCTTCCATATTAGATCATGAAATACATTGATCTAGAGATACATGAAAGTCCATGTAATTGCACTTGCCATCATTCTGCTAGTATTAACAATAGACTATTCACATTTTGTTATATGCTCATCTCGTCTTTTCTATGCATAGTATTATTTTCGCAAAGTGGAAGTCACATTGCCCCTACGACTGTATATCCTTCCCTTGCTCTTTTTGTGGTATCTTGTTATGTCCTCAAACGTTATTCACAGTCATTATCTTCAGTGATAATACCACAGACTAGCCTATCACTTGAATGTGTCATAAGCTTCTTAACCAAGGCCCAGATGTTGGACAGCTGCGATTTTTCAACATGACAAGTAATTCTGAGATGAGTATTTTTCTGTTGCTTGTGCTTCTCAAAGCCTTGGTGTAAATCTCTCTGGTATTCCAGCCATTTTTAACAAAATGATTTTTGAATATCATCCATCAGTCAAACAATATCAACAAGTGATTTCTGAGTGGGAGCTGAAACACCGTGGTTTCTCATCCCACACCGTCGGTACCTGGCTCTGTAACCTAGGGCAGACCACTTCTCAGACCAGAGTTGCTCCATTTATAAAGTAAACTGATGGTATTCGATGATTTTTAAGGGTCTTTCCAGCTCTAACCTTCAGTGGTGTCTTCTCCTCTCCCTCAGATCTAATCAATTAATCTGTCAAGCTGGTCATTACAGACAGGTCCTGCAAGTCGTATCAAAGCCACCTCCTGAACATCTAAAAACCCGCCCACTCCTCCCCAGCCCCACTCACGGTGCCTCTGTGCAGGTCGCCATCAGCACTCCTCTGACCTGTGATGGACGCATTGCAGAGAGAGCTAAGCTCTGAAGTGAACATTGAAGTCCAAAATCAAGAATAGGGTTCGTGAGGTGCGTGGGAAAGCCGGGGCTGGCACCGAGGAGATGCCCAATGAATGTTTGCTGCATTTGAATCTGAAACCAGCTTCAGGAGACCCACCCTGCTCCTGAAAGGTTGCCAGGGAGTTCACAGTGAAGGGGAGCCTCACCCTGCCCCACACACTGGGTGCCCTGAGTGCTGCGGGAAGACAAAGACTCTGCAGCTTCCCCACAGGGGCTGACAGTCTAGAGGGGGAGATAGGAGCCCCTGTACACAAAACAAGCTTGCCTCGGGCGGCGTCTGCAATGGGAAATCCAGATGGAGAGCAGAACCATTATCTGAGCAATTCAGGCAGGCCTGCTGTCGATGAAGGGCTTAAAGAAACAAACGTGTTCTATTTCTCTTGTGAACCCAAGGGTCAGGGCAGCCTGGGGAAGCCAGAGGCCGTGGCTCTGGGAGACCAGCACTCTGGCCGGTGCTCTATGATCTTAGGCAAACACTGAAGCTCCCTATATTTTTTTAAACCTCGCCCGAGGATATGTTTTGTTTTGTTTGTTTTTAAAAAATTGATTCTTGGGGGGTGGGGGCGGGGAGGAGAAAAACATCAAGGCTCAATGGTTGTGTGTTGACCTATGAACCAGGAGGTCATGGTTCAATTCCCAGTCAGGGCACATGCCCAGGTTGCAGGGTCAATTCCCAGTGTGAGGCATGCAGGAGGCAGCTGATCAATGATTCTCTCTCATATTGATGTTTCTGTCTCTCTCTCTCCCTATCCCTTCCTCTCTGAAATCAATAAACACACACAAAAAAACAAACAAACAAAAATTGATGTCAGAGAAAAACATCAGTCAGTTGCCACCTGGATGTGCCCTAACTGGGGATCAAACCCAAAACCTAGGTATGTACCCTGACAGGAAAGAAAACCCATGACCTTTTGGTGTACAGGACGATGCTCCAACCAACTGAGATCTCTAGCCAGGGCCTGAAGCCACTTTTGATCTCGGTATCATCAGTGGTCAAATGTAGCTAGAGTAACACCAATCCTCCCACTGAGATCTCTAGCCAGGGCCTGAAGCCACTTTTGATCTCGGTATCATCAGTGGTCAAATGTAGCTAGAGTAACACCAATCTTGCCCAAAGCTAACCACCTACTACACTGAGTTGTGAGGTTGCACACCATGATTATGAATGGGGAAAACAGTTATTAAATGGAGCAATCTAATAACTACACAGGCCACTGACAATGTGTCTCCTAAGATCCTACTCCTCCTACAGGAGACGTTTGATAATTGTAAGTAACATTTGTATTGAACTTTATCATGTGACAGGCAATTTTATGTGCATTTATTCTATTTTGTTTCCAAAGTCCCATAAATGTTATCATTTGCTCTTTTTGCACTTAAGGATAGTGAGTTGGAGGGAACTTAAATAAGTTGTTTAAGTTTACACTCTGTGAG